TGATTAAACAGAATCACACCCCCTGTACCAGTCACCAACCCAGAACTCTAAACATGTGCTGACTCCACCCAGGTAGGAGAGGACACCTGTACCTAGCCACTACAGGTGCCCAGTTCTGGAACAATACTCCAGCACTGAATGCTATCCTGACAGAGGCAGATACCCCAGTATTCTGACAACTGAAGGAATGAGAGGGTTAGTGTTGCTAGAAGCAGAGATGACCAGAAAGCTGTGAAAAGACCACCAGGAGACAGAAAGGAGACTCTCAGGCCCTGGTCACCACAGGGGCTCCAAAGACCTGTCAAGGCTTCAGGGCCAAGGGTCCTGGTCCACAGATCTGCATGAGGACTGTCATCCTTGTATGACTAAGTTCCCCCAAACTCTAGGCTAGCACCAGGATTATAACTGAAGGTGGCACTTGTCACTGTTTTTGCCTGTTTACCTTGTCACTTGCCGCTTTCAGACACTGAGGGAAACGAAGGCGGCCAGAGATCAGCATTTGAAGAGCTTCCTGCCTATCCACAGTTTCTATCCAGGTAGACCAAAAGTCCTTAGTCAGCTGTGGAGTGACAATTAGGATGGGAAGAAATCTCGCCACTCATGGGAATGTAAAATGGCGCAGCCACTGTAGAAAATGGCATGGTGCTTCCTCAGAAAACATGGAGACTTGGAGAGATGGCTCAGTGGTTAAGAGCACTGGCTATTCTTCCAGAGGACCAAGGCTCCCAGCACCCACAGTTCCAGGAGTATCTGATACCCTTTTCTGGTTTCCACAAGCACTGCTCACACATGGTGCACTTACATAGATGCAGGCAAAACATTCATACACATAAAATAAAAATAAATAGGCCAGGCGTGGTGGTGCACACCTTTAATCCCAGCACAGGCAGAGGCAGGTGGATCTCTGTGAGTTCAAGGCCAGCCTGGTCTACATAGTGAGTTCCGGGACAGCTGGGGCTATAGGGAGACCCTGACTCAAAAAGACCAAAAATAAAAAATAAAATTTAAATAAATAAATAAAATCTTTTTAAATAGTTAAACATGGAGCTAGCAAGTCCACTTCTGGGTACGGACCCAAAAGAATGGAAAACAGGGGCTAGTAGAGCTATTTACATACTCATTAAGGGTGGGATCTCAACTGTCACCCACTGGCTCATATTCTGAGCACTGACACCAGAGCTGGTGGTGCTGTTTGGGAGATGGGGCTTGTCTGGCAGAAGGAGGTCGCCAGGGTCAAGCCTTTTATAACCAGTCCCTGATTTCTTTCTTTTTTGCGGGGGTGGGGGGTGGGGGGTGGGGTTCATTTTGAGACAGGGTCTCCCTGTAGTCCCAGCTGGCCTGGAACTCACAAGGACATGGAGGTACAGACAGGGTTAGTGGCATGCCTAGGGTCACACAGCAAGTGGCAGAGATAGATCATACACAGACCAAAAGCTAATGCCAAATCTTGTTCCCATTCCGCCTCTCACAGTCAGCTTTGCTAAGTACCTTCCCAGGTGCATATAAATCCCAGGCTTCAAGGGGCTAGGTACACATACACACAATTACCCTTCAGATACTGACACAGTTCGGAGGTTATCAGACTGTTATCTCTCCTTACAGAGAGCCAGCATGAGCCATTCACTGCTGCCTCTTCCCAGGAAGAGTGCTCCCTGAACTGGGCATAGAAGTCCCACGATGCTGCCTTCTTAACAGCAAGCTTCTGATCCATGAACATGGGATTTCTGACTACTGATTGGCGTCTTCAGTTTTAACCATGCTCTGTCATTTCAGAGTCTATGTGCCTGCCTAGGCTGCCATGGGTTCTCTAACTTGCTGTCGTCGCCTTCTCTACCAGAATGTGAGCTCCATAAAGACCAGACCTGTCTGTCTTGCTTGTGGCCAACTCAGCCCCAAGAACACACTTGTGACTGGCTGAGCGAAGAAGTGCCACAGAGCCATCATCTCTATGGGGACACTGAGCTCTCTCTTCCGCAGCAGGCATGCTGCCCACTGGATTCTTTCAGAGGTGGCAGCTGGCTACCGCAACAGACAGGCTAGAAAGGACTTCTGCTCAGCTACAGCACAACTGATCCTCTAAGCCTCCCTTCTAAGGAACCCAGGCTAACAACAGCTCTGCCAGGAAACCTCTGGGGCCCACTGGGCCCACCAGCAAGCTTCAGGCTTGCCTAGACAGGTCCAGCTTCGCTTCTACCTGGAGCTTCTACATTTCCGCTGGACTTGTAGGGTTTCGAAAGGAGGAGATAAGCAGCTTTGATGACAGCTCCTGTTTAATACCCACAGATTCTTATGCATACAGCACGTGGTCTCCTGGGTCACAGAAACTCCAGGCCTTGGGGAGGAACAAGACTACCAATATTCCCATTCTGCCCAGGCAGGGAGAGATGGATGCTGGGCTGGGCCACTGTACATAGGTAGAGCTTTGAGAGAGTGCCCTGCTCTGGGCTGTTCTTTGACACTCTGCCTGTTCTTTGACACTGGTACCAAGCCTGGCCTTTGAGATCAGAGCCACCACCCATCCCTTCCCTAAGTGGCCTTATCGTCTTGGGCAAATCACTTAGCCTCTTAGATATTTAGTTCCTATTTCTTTTTAAAAATCTTTTACATAGTGAAATATGCACATATTCCAACTAATACTTAAATGTATGGGTTTACACGAACATCCGTGTAATTGTTACTCCATGAAACTCTGCCCTTCCCTCAGCCTTCCTTCTTACCCCTCTGGGGATTCATCTCTCTGCTTTTCTTCATATCTCAGCTCCCTAATCATCTGTAAATGCTGTACTTCACCCTGTGCTCTCATTCCACTTCACAGACAGGGAATCATCCATGCTACTTTTTGTTTGCTTTCTTTAGTTCCACAGTTTTGTCGTCTCACGCATGATGTTGGGTGGGGCTGTGGTGGATCCCTTCATACCACTGTAGTTTCCCACTGCAAGAACCAGTCAGTTATTTATTCACTGTAATGCTGCTGCTGGGTGCTAGGGTTATGTTAGGCTGTTGTAAGTAAGGGGCTGTGAACACCGGCTGTGTCCAAGACTCTGACAGAACTATACACAGAAGAACTGCCTCCCAGGGAAACTGCTGGACCCCCTGTGCCATGGCAGTGACTTTACCAGATACCATCAAGTCATTTCCCTGACAAGATTACCAACTCTCTAACCACGTTACCACTTGAAAGTGCTTCTTTTCATTTAGTCATTCTGGTGGCAAGTAGAAACACCCTATGCTGGATTAATTTGTATTTCTGTGGTGACCAATGAGGTTGAACTCCCCTGACTATATTCATGGGTTGTGAGGCTTGCTTCTTGGCAAAGTGCCGGTTCAAGTCCTGCCCATGTGTCTACTGGCTCATCTCTCTGCCTTACTGATTTGTAAAGGTTTGAGAAGGGGTCATGTGATGGGTTTCTGTGTTACAAATACCTTCTCCCAACTCCCTGCTCCCCTTTCTGGTCTCTTAACTTGCCCTTTTAAAAAATGTAGGCTCTTCAGTTTATGCAGTACAGATTATCAATCCTTTCATCTCTGTAAGGTCCCTCTGAGGCTGGTTACCTGTCATGAGCCACAGGCCAACCACAGGGCATCTGCCCTGGACTCTGCTCTGCTCCTCAGGTTTGACACCCTGGCACTACAGGAAGTGCTCTGAGGTTACAGAGGTCTCTGGTCTTCCCAGGCCATTCAATGGGCTGTGGGTATAATCAGCTGTAGTCATTAAGGGTCAGGGAGATGAGGCTGACAGGGTGAGGCCCAGGAGAACAAGAACATCCAGTGTTACATTCACTCTTCTATGCGAGGGGCTGGTGGCTTAGTGACAGAGGTCAGGCAGGCCATGCCTAGCAGTAGGCGAGGAGAGTTGGTGATGTGAGTGGTGAAAAGAGGGGCCAGCCTTGAGGCTTGTCAGAGCCCGAAGAAGTGAGTCTGTCCCTGCCTGACAGTCAAATATACCACAGGGAAGAAAGGATGCTCACACCATATGTAAGTCAAGTCAACCAGCTGGAAGGCACTGGGTCTTCCTGTTCAGCCGGAAGTTGTGCCCTCCTTCCCCTCACCCCAGTGTGGTGACACCATGGTGAAAGCTTTCACAGCGATTTCATATGAGTACCAACCCAGAAAGACTGCAGCTGTGGGGCTAGAGTCACCTCTGCTTTCTTTTCCACCAGGTCCAGAAGCGTCCCTTTAGGACTCATCTGTAGCTAGCTGTGTCCTGGTCAACTCTAAGTCAGGTCTTACCTGCCTCCTGTTCACATACTCTTCCTGGTGCCCCACTCCATCCACAGTGAAGTCTGAACCCCCGACCAGGGCCCCACAGTCCAGCCCCCTCTTTTATCCAAGCCCTCCCACCATCCTCATCTCCACTCCCTCAGACCCACTGGCCTTCCTCATATGCCTCCTGTTTCTGCTCATTCCTATTTCAGAACCTTTGTACTTGCCAGTGCCTCTGCTAATACCCCTGGCTGCCCTGGTCACTCAGTGGAGCCTGTTGGGTCACTTCATCTAATGACAGCCCCTGTCCTCTCATTGACCTTTTACTTTGCTCCCTTGCATGTCTCCTGGATATCTTTAGACACATGGACTTGTCTGTACAATCTATCTGTAGCACACACAGGTAAGAGGAGGGGGAGGGAAGAGGCATAGACTGCTTTACCATTGAATGAAATCTCAGTGCCTGAAATGGACCTGGGTATCTTTTACCACTCATTGAATGCTTTGAAAAAACAAACAGGTAAACAGCAGACAAGGGCAGAGAGCAGGCTTGGGGCACAGGGATGGGTTCCAGTGTAACCACAGGGAGGCCTAGCAGAGGAAGGAAGAGAGGCCAAGGCATCAAATATGAACATGTGGCAGCGTGCACCCTCCCTCACCCTGTGTGAAGACTACCCAACATCCAGCAGGGTGTCTGGACACAGGGAAGTGAGCATGCAAAGGCCACAGGACTCTGATTATGGACCTATGTCCCCTGCCAGGGAACTTGTGGGCTCAGAGTGAGGGGACAAGATTACCTGCAGGCAAGGGTTCTACAGGGTGGGCATGCGAACTACGGGCAGTACCTCCACCAAGCGGGGCCCAGATGACCCGGCGGATGGCCTGCACCCAGTCTTCCATGTCACGCTGGGAGCTGGCCATGAGCAGGAGCGCCTCGGGGTTGGCCGGTACCTTCTCCCGCTCCCCGGTACCACCTGCAAGACACAGAGACAAGGCTTACTGCAGGGTCCCTATGCAGGACAGTGGGTGCCCACCTGCTGCCACTGCTCAGCCCATGAGCTCAGCAATCCTGGAACCTCCAGCAACACTTTGTTCTTATTTTTGAAGTTTTATTTATTTTTAGTTTTTGTATATTAGTGTTTTGCCTGCATGTAAGTATATGCACCATATGCATACAGCGCCCACGGAAGTCAAAAGAGGGCACTGGATCCTCTGGAGCTGGAGTTATAGGCAGTTGTGAGCTGCCTAATGTGGGTGCTGGGAACTGAACTTGGGTCATCTGCAAGAGCAGCGAGTGCTCTTAACCACTGCGCCATCTCTCCAGCTCCAACATCCTGCTCTTTTGCTTCTAGTATGCATCCAGTCTCTTTCACACCTCACAGACCTTTGATAGAGCTCTTCCTGATTTATCAAAACAGAAATCATTGGAAGAATTTCAAGACAATACTGGTGTGTGTGTGCAGACTTTAGGGCACCTTAGAAAAGTTCAGTCTCCTACGTCAGCTTCAGCGTTTTCCTTGAATCAAGTCACTCACCATGTATGCACTTTAGTACTTTCCGAACACCTGAAGGGATTCTTCTTTTTAATGTGTATAAGTGTATTGCCTGCATGTCTGTAAATGCACCCATGTCATGCAATGCCCACGAAGGTCAGAAGAAGGCATCAGATCCCCTGGAATGGGAGTTACGGAACTGTGAGTACTGGGAATTGAACCCAGGTCCTCTGCAAGAGTGCCCAGTACTCTTAACCCCTGAGCCATCTCTCCAGCCCTCCTGAAGGGATTTTTAAGCATGATCTCCTTCCCATGCACCCTGCCCTTCACATCCCCAAATATATAATTCACTGTTACTTGCCTAAGACCCCTAACCAGGACCGTGTGCTAGGGGTGCAGAGACTCATGTCCGCAGGGGAGAGAGGAAGATGGACGGGAGCCCCAGGCTGTTCCTTGCTGGAACTATGACCCAGGGAAGGAGCCCAGCTGGAAACAGATGCTTCCAAACACTGGAAGGTGCCCATGCAATCCTGCTGAGCACACACCTCTGTTCACCTTCACAAGGACTGAGCAAGGCTGTTCCCATGCCTATTTGAGGGTGCATGTATGTGTGTGTGAGAGCACACGTGTGTGCATGCACATGCCTGCTCACACATGCTTGCACATGCAGATGTTGAAAACTGAACCCACATTCTCTCACTACTCACTTGGCTACACCCTTCATCCACACCCCTGTTTTACAGACAAGGAACCTGAGACACAGTGAGTTAAGTAACTTGTCTGAACTCACACAGCTCGTAAGGGCAGAACCATGGATTTGAGGTCTGGGTACTTGGTCACCCACCCTATATGCCTTCCTGCCACTTCCTAAATGAGGGGCAGCATGCTGAGCTCACAGCAAGCTGCCCAAAACTGGGAAAGCTGAGCAATCTATCCATCCCAGAAATTTACAGACACCTTTGTGCACAGCTGTGCCCCAGACCAGGGTCCTGCACTAGGGTACCGGAGCCTGCATGTTTATTTACCTGTCTTCTTAGATATGTGTCCCTTTTCAGGAAACAGTCACAAACTGTTTTCCAAAGTGACTGTACTGTCTACCTTCCCCTCCACACACACCATTCCAGTTCCTCCACCAACATTTTTTTCCCTCTTAGCCATTCTAATGGGTATGCCAAACCACTTGAATTAGCATTTCCCAAATGACTGATGGTGTTGGATACTATTTTATTTACTTAATTGCCACCATGTGGCTTCTTTGGTGAAATGTCTGTTCAGGCTTTTCATCCATTTTATTTTAAGAAAAAAATTTTACTATTTATTTTTTATGTGTATGAGTGTTTTGCCTGCATGTATGTAAGTGCACCTATGTGTGCAATGCTCACAGAAGCCAGGGAGTCCAATTCCCTGGAACTGGTGATTGTTAGCTATTATGTGGGTGCTGGGAACTGAACCTGGGTCCTCTGTGAGAGTAGTCAGTGCTCCTAACCACTGAGCCATCTCTCCAGCTCATTCATTTTTTAAAAATATTTTATTATTTTTTATGAGTATGAGTGTATTGCCTGCATGTAAGTAAGTGCACCCACGTCGTGCAATGCCTAAGGAAGACAGAAGAGGCCATTGGATCCCCTGGAACTGGAGTTAACGGACGGTTGTTAGCTGTCATGTGGGTGTTGGGATTCGAACCTGGGTCTTCTGTAAGAACAACCAGTGTTCTTAACCTCTGAGCCTTCTCTCCAGCCCCTCATTCATTTTTTTTTTAAAGGGTTATTTTCCATTATGAGTTTTAAGAGTTCTTTATGTATTGTGGATGCGAGTTGTTTATCAGATTTATGTGCTGCAAATCTCTCACATTATTTTTCCCTTGAGTTCTATTAACAGTATTTCTAAGAACAAAAGGTTTTAATTTAGCAGACTCCATTTTTCTTCTCTTTTATTGAATGTGCTTGGTTATTATATCAAAGGAATCTGTTTGACCCAAGGTCATAAAAGCTTTTTCCTAGCTTTCCTTTCGGCAATTTCATGGTTTTGGGATCTCTTCTCTTTTCGTCTCTTTTCTCTTAAGTCAGGGTCTCACTGTGTAGCTCTGACTGGCCTAGAACTCTCTATATAGCCCAGGCTGATCTCTACCTCACAGAGATCCACCTGCCCTCTGCCTCCTGACTCTTGGGATTAAAGGTGTGGGCCACCATCGTTGGCCATGGTTTTAGGACTTACATTCAGGCCTACGAGTTCATTTTTGTACAAGATGTTCCTGCTTCTGCATCTGGATGTCCCACACATCTACCGAAGTCTCATTTTTCCGCTGCCTTGCCAGGCTCCCGTGGAGGCCAGCACACTATACCAGCAAAAGCTTAGGTACTTCCTTTCTATCTGGGTACCTTTATTTATTTTCGGTCTGCTTGCACAGGCTGGAACTGCAAATGCAATGTTGACTAGATGTAGGTAGAGCAAACAGTGTTGTCTTACTCCTCATCTTGTGGAAAACGCATTCAAGTTCTGTTATCTATGAGATGTCTCTGTAGGACAGGCTGTATCAGGCTGAGGAATTCCTTCTATTCCTAGTTTGTTGAGAGCTTTTATAAGCAATGGACTCTGGATGTTTTGTTATGTTTAATGTCTTTTTAGCATCTCTTGAAATGATCCTATAAATTTTTAGTGTGTTAATAAAACATATTGATGGATTTTCAAGTATTAAACCAGCCCTGACCTATGGGTTTTTTGAAGTTAGTTTCCAAATTGGGTAGGGGTAGATTTCTCTGAAATCTTTCTTGATATTGATTTCTTATTTAATTCCATTGTGGTAAGATAACCTATGTTACGTGGTTTGAATTATTTTCTATTTATTAAAACTTGGTTTGGGCCCATAACATGGTAGTTGTTCTGTCAACAGAGGAAAATTGTTCTGCTGGGCATGGGGTGGGTGGAATCTCCTACTATTCCCAGCCGGGCCGAGTTGGGTAGTCTGTTGAGGTCTTTTGTGTCTAGATTGCTTTTCTATTTGTCCTGTCAGTTACTGAGAAAGCTATTAAAAGCGCCCACTGTAACCTTGTTTTTCTCTATTTCTCTTTAGATTTCTGTCTGTTTTGTATAAAGTTCTGTTGTTAGAACTTAATATTTAGGTGTATAAATATTAAGAATCGTTATATCTTCTTGGCGAATCTACTTGGCAGCTGTAAAATGGCCTTTCTTCTCCCTTAGTAATATTCCCTGTTTAGAAATCTGACATATGGTCACTCCAGCTTTCTTTTGACTGACTCCAGCATGGTAGATCTTTTTCCATGTTTTTTTTAAACATCTGTGTATCTTTAAGTGTATTTCTTGTCAGATATATGGTTGAGACTTGCTTTTATATCCAGACCAGCAAGCTTTATTTAAATAGGATTACTGAAGCTGGAGAGATGGCTTGGCAGTTAAGAGCACTTGCTATTCTTGCAGAGGGCCCAGGTTGGATTCCCAGCACCCACATGACAGCTAACAACCATCTGTAACTCCAGTTCCAGAATTGACACCCTTTTCTGGCCTCTACAGTCATAGCACACATGTGATAGATGTACATGTAGGCAAAACACTCATACATATAAAATAAAAACAAATAATAAAAAGGAAACCTATACAAAATAGAATATGATTATGGCATCTTATGTTTAAGTCTGTCTCCTGTTTCCTGTTGGGCTTGTCATTCTTTTTTTTTTTTCTTTTTGAGGTGTTTGTGTGACAGTGCCTCATTACATAGCCCAGGCTGTCTTGAAATGCGTGATTCTCTACCTCCCTTGTGCTGGGATTACAGAGGTGTGCCACCAAACTCAAACAGTTTAACTTATTTTTGTGTTTATGTGTCTGTGTTAGTGCTACTTGTGTATAGGTGCCTGAGGAGGTCAGAAGAGGGCATTAGATCTGGAGCTCACAGGTGGTTATGAGCCACCTGACCTGGGTGCTGGGACCCAAACTCAAGTCCTCTGCAAAAACAGCAAGCACTCTTAACTACTGAGCCATCGCTCCAGTCTGTATTTTGCTATTTTTAAAGAATATTTTATTTATTATGTTTATTTTATGTGTACGAGAGTATTGCTTGCAATGCCTTCAGAGGTCAGAAGAGTGTCCAGTTCCTCTGGAACTGGAGTTATAGATGGTTATTAGCTGTCATGTGGGTGCTGGGACTCAAACCCGGGTCTTCTGCAAGAGGAGCCAGTGTTCTTAACCACTGAGCCATCTCTCCAGCCTATGTATTTTATTTTTTGTGATTCCATTCTATCTCTTACATTGCTTCTTAGTAAAGCTCTCTTCCCTTTCCTCCCCGATACCGCAGTCACCACATTAGGGATCACAGTATACATCTTATTTACTTTTCTTTATCTTTCTCTGACAAGGGATGTCATACCTCGTGCAGCCATATCTAACCTGTGGCCCATGATTTGCACATGTCCCAGGACAGCTATGAATGTGGCCCAACACATTTGCATATGACAATGTCATATCACAAG